TCTCCTTGGACCCTTTTTGACGCTCCGTATCCAGCGTATCGCCTTCGTCAATTTCGAACCCCTTCCATACGTCACCTACAACTTTCTTGACCCACTCCGTGGGTTGTCTACCCCTCTTCTTGTTTGCCCACTCCGCCTCCCAAGCTATTCTCGGTAACCTCTCATTTCCCATACCGCACATGCAATAGTGCCATGTCAGCTTCCTTGCGTCTCTTCCCGATCGTAGGGATCGGATCCCCAGTTTTGCCCTGAAGGCTGCATTACTTGTGCGCTTGGAGCATCCTAGGACGATTTTCGCTGCTTTCATCCGCGCCGCCTCGAGCTCTTTGACTACCTTCTTATTTCCTTCCCATACTTCTCCGGCGTACAAGCGGCGGTACGATTACTCTCTTCAACCGTCAATTTGATGCGAGGTGCCGGTTTGCGAGTATAGGGTGCAGCTTCCCTGCTCTTGCTTTGCCCTTTTCCGCTACCTTGGACATGTAGGCATTCCACGAGCAGTTTCTTGCGATCCCTAGTTCGGCATACGTGTTCTGATCCACTACTGCAAGCTCTTCGACCCCCCATTTCCGTCTATACTCTTCTGTTTTCTCCCAGGGACGGTAGGGGCGGCGGGAAAGGACTGCGGCGGGAACGTCATTTCCAAAGCCGGGCAATAGCGGTGAGGCAAGGGCGATCACGGGTAAGCATATTGCTGGTGTTTATACCGTGTCATGATACCGACTGCCATCCGGTGGTTGCTCCTAGATGCGGCACCCACTCACCTGCAGCCGTTGAACCCGTACCAACCCACCCATAGCAGGAAAGCCCCCAGCGTCTACGGCCATGACGGCAGCGGCAGTTGGTGTCGGTTGCAGCGGTTTGTTTGAGAACGACGGAGAACAGACAAAGTGGCGGCGCGAGGAATTTCTTCGTCACAAACTCCTCTGCATTCGAAGACCTAACCTGGTGAAGCTCAAGATCGCTTCCAACTCTCCACGCAAAATCTGTGCTTCGCTTGCTTGTGGCGCGTGATGGCTTCGGTCGTGTGATGGCTTGTGGCGCGTGATGGCTTCGGTCGTGCGGGGCTGTCTCTGCACACAGACACTGTTTCCTTCATCATGCACCAACAAGCCAAAACAAATGTCGAACGATGATTGATTGGCTGGAGAAGTCATCTCGTCCTGGAGCATCAACAGAGCCAGGATTTCACAAGCTGTAAAATGATGTGTCTGCAGTTTTTTTGGTGCATCCTTTTCAAAAGTATCTCCGGAACAGAGTACTGTGAGTTAACTTGAAGCTAACACAGTCAGAAAACCACCCCTTCACTCGGTCAGTGATACCTCTGCCAGTAGAGGCAACGAAGATTTGGGTGTGTACTGCGGACTGTATCCTTGGGGTACCGGGAGTAGCCTACGTGCATGCCTGAATGATGACGCTTTCCTCCGTTGTTTGTATGGACATGCCACCAGAGAAACGGCCCAAGCGCGGCCCTATGAGAATCATCATCACAAGGGAGGCCACTCCTCCGGTAGTGTGGACCTTTGTCGTGTTGTGTGGATACAGGACACGAGGCAGACATGACAAAGATGGTTAAGGACAAGAAGTAATAGCATATTTCTGTTGCGAAGGAGTCCCAGCAAGCCAAGGGGTTGGACCAAGCTGGGCGGCACTCGCCGAGTGAATCCCCATCGAGGCAACAAAGGCCTCGTGCCAGAAGCTGGTTTTGACGGTGGAGAACGAAGTCAAACCCGACCTGAGGAATGAATATTGTTCTCAAGTGGCGTAGGGACCGTCGATAGGGAACAATGGGCGTTTGACGAGGTGGGTGTGGGTTTGGTCCAAACGACATCGATAGCGCAACGAATAGCTCGTGGGCCTTAGGACTAGGACGAGCACGCGCGCACAACAAGCAACCCTCCGCACGTGAGAGCCAACATCATAAACCTACATATACTTCCCAACTTACCACCCCCGAGCCCGCAAAGTCGATAACCCCGCAGCCGAAGAGAAGGTCGTCCCTGGTACTTGACCAAGCGGATGCCCATCCATGGGAGTTCCAGCCCCATCTCACCACCTGCCAAATATATTGACGAGCACACAGAACATTTGTGTAGCACGAGGCTTCAGCTCTTTCAGGAAACTGTTATGCCGAGACCTATGTACTTCTAGATGCAAAAAAAAACAAGCGCTACACAATGCGCAAACCGCAGGTGCCTTTCATACCGATCTATCAACAAACTTCCCATCCAATATTCAACAGTATGTATATGTTGTCCTCAAAGGCGCCTCAGTCTTCAGTGACCTTCAAAGTAGCTTAAGATGACGCTTGAATAATACGACTCGAGTTTGAATGCATGATTGTGTGTACATGGGCAGGGTCTAACGGCCGGAGTACATCTCACCGTCAGTTTTCACAGAAGAGTGAGGAACAATGCATTGAGAAGGCTGCCGAGAGAACTGCCAAACGAAAAATCTGCCGGGTTCACGCGCTGGCAGGAGAAAAATAGTTACACCTTGCAAAGTGTCACCGTTCCCCTTTTCGTGAAGTCGCGGGGGAGGAAGCGGGGGTATTCAACCCGCGGAGTCCCTTGCACTTGGGTCACCTATTGCTTACGTTATGTTCGAGCCATTGGACCATTTGAGACGGGCAACGGCTCCATTCCAATACTGCTATTTCCAACAATGGAGGAAATCCTCTGCTAGATACTCTCGGATTCCCCCTTTTCACTCACCACGGGGTAGATTAATCCAACGATGGCCTGAGCTGTCATGATGTATGCAGGCATCGTGATTCGCAGCCCCACTGCACCGCTGACACTGATGTGTTGGGGAAAGCCAGACAAGATAATAACGGCCGAAAACACAGTACACAGGCAGAAGGTCGAGAAAGAGCGAAACGCTCCGTTCTATCAGCCGCGAGCGTGAACGGGCGCTCAACGGTGTGGGGTCGGTCGTGTGAATGGAAGAAATGCACAACGCGCATTGTGTGACCATTCTCTGTTTCAGACGCGCGAAAGGAAGGAATTTCATCGACTCAACGAAAAAAATCACCTCGTCTTCTAGTACGGTGTACGCTGATCTGTTGCCCGCGGTTCCTCCACGGATGCAGAATATCGCCCTCAATGTCAGCCGACCTACTGATGACCACGATTGAAGAAGTTTGGTACAAAGACACTCCGCCTCCCACTTCTCCATCGACCCCAGCCTGTCACCGGAATTCGATTCAAGACAAATGAAATTTAACGCCCGCCTTCCCTCTCCTTCTGCACAGTGCGATCTGCCACGAACAGAAATCCCGTGAGCGATGCAAAGGACACACCCTTCCTCACATTGTCACAGCTGCTCCCGAGAAGCTCCACTATTCGTTCCCGAAGGCCAGAGACGCGAACAGCAGCAATAGCAGCAGCGGCACAGTGCCAACGCACGAATCACCACGTGTTAGTCAAACGCGTTCCAATTAGGAAAAGGTGCGCCGTGGTACACGTCGCCGTCGAGGACGACACCCCAAACCTCTGGTCCTCTATGGTGCCCGCTTCCTTCTCATATCTCCCAGAAACACATTGAGAGTCTCATTGTGAGCCACGTACAACAAATTGATTTCGGTGCCACCGGATCGGGTGTGTGACTTACGCATACCTCTGTATCAGACACATGGCAGATAATCGCCTGGAAACGTGTCCACCAATCATCGGAAATATACGTTGAATAAAACGCATCAATGTCTTGTGCCGTCTTCCCGGAGAGAAAAAAAACTATGCCTGTAGTCTAAGTACCTGGAAAAGCCACAGTGCCCAGGTGTATCCTTCGGTGGTACCGTAGTTCCCAGATTCGTCGATGAATCCCCCACCTCGCAAGAAGAACGATACAGGCCCGGCAAACTGGTTAAACTCGCCATGTTCAGTCTCTTCACCAAAGGCGATCCCCCACCCGATCGACCACCACATGACAGCAGCTACGGCCAGATCCAGAAGGTTCTTCAAGAAGAAAAACAGAACAACAGTTGAAAGAGTTTCCCATGGTGAGGCGGCGGTGTGTGTTTTGCAGGATCGTTTGCTGCGGCCCGCCCCCGTCCGTACGAGCAAGGAAGTGGCTGGACATCTTCGACGGAAACTATGGCAAAGTTTCCGACACGAACAACTATAGTAGAATTTTACTGGTGAACGGCAGAGCTACAGTAGGTATCACTACAGATTATCACTCCTGGGGACCAATCGGCGACACCCCCCTACGAACAAGGAGTCCGCGAGGCTAGACCTGCAACTATGTCGGTGAGGGCTACGTACTGCCAACGCGTCCGTTGCGTGTCATTTCTGATCGAACGCCCGTGAATCGCGACACCCCGAGATGGGCTATGAGCGTATGTAAAATCACGTTGCGCGCCTTCAAGGGTCTGTCAGTCTAACTATGTAGGCTTTTCCATCTGGGACATGATCCAAGGAGGAACAGCTTTCACACGAGGGACTTCAGGGCACCCAGACAACCGGAAAACCTAACCCTTTGATGCCCGAAAAGGCAAGGCACAGGTGGAGCTCCATCGAGACCCAGATACTTCCACGACCAGAGCAAAATGGCGAGACAGCGACGTATCCACGACCTTGTGTACGCCTGGATCTCGAGAGTAATTTGAAAACATCATTGTAACCCTCCTGGTAACTAGGGAAGTAAGATCGAACAAGAAGTCGACGACATTACAGAAGCCGTGTTATATCCTGAGTGCGACGGGACAAAATCTATAGCCAACAGAGAAACAGGTGCTCTGACGCTGTACGAAGAAGTCGACGAAGAAATCTACGAAGTTACGCAACGACCATACACTAACCTTGACCAGTACGCTTTTTACGTGCGTTTCGCAAACAGAGCCAGCCTCAAGCATGGCGAATCCTGCCTGCATGACTACGAGGGAGTCGAGCGACATGCAAACAGCAGTACAAGAGACATTCCAGTTTGGAGAGTTCGCGAGCGGAAGAACGGACGCGCTTGGCAAATCAAATCCACATGTTTTGGCGGTGCTTGAGCAATGGCATGGCAACCTCAACCGATTGATATGCCACAACCAAGCAAAATGCGCGGCGCGGACCTTCCCTTTGACTTGGTTAGTTGTGGGTTCACCTTGTTTGCAACTTGGTTCTCAGACTGCACTGAGAATTTTTCACTACAGAAGTCGCGCTATTTCGCCGGGGTAGGATTCAATGGGCCTGGGGATCGCACCGTTGGTCCCTCCATAATAAGAGAGCTGACACGTTGAGCATTCGTGCTTTGGGCTGCATCTGCTTGCAGTAGTAGACAATATGTACAACGTCGCCGATTGGTTCCATAATACTCACGCACGACCAGAATGGACCCCACCATGAGCCACATCACGTTCATATCCGTCTCCATTGAGTCGAACTCCGCCTGTAGTGAATCGAGCTGATCAGTGGTTGAGTCCGCAATGGACGGCGTCGAGTTCGCCCTTAGCAAGTTGAGCTCCACCTGCAGCGACTCAACAATCCGCCATAGCTCCGTCACGTTCGCCTCCATAGCCGAATAGCTTGGCAAGGAAGGTGCGTCACTGCAGAGAAAAACGACGACGGCAAAATAATCGCTTTGGTAGCTTGAAAGACTTGCCCGTTGACACTCTCTGTTACATACAACAGTGTAGGCTGGTTTTGTTGTGTGGCTGTTGTATTCAATTGGGCGCACCTGTTTCGTATTGTCCTCTATTGCCGGACACCGCCGCTTGTTCGTTGTTCATGTGTTTGTGTCAGCGTCCCTCGAGCACACCGTTGCCGCTGCTCTTCCGTCGCTCTCCGCGCCTCTCACCGACCGCTTGCTTTACTATCTAGACAATAACAGCAGTGGCTGGCAACTACCGTTTGCGGTACGGGCACAGCTTGGGACCAAAATACGGTGCATAGAGTCTAATAATGTAGTCCGCACACACAGCAGACTGTAGATTGTACACAAGAGTACTTTGCCACGGACTCAAGGAGACATGTTGAACATGTTGAAGTTCTCGCACATGAGAAAGTTCAGTGACGCCGGCGGAACCAATACGCTCTTCCACTTAGTCTAGTCTAATCGTCCCATTCCCAGCGCACTGAGGTTGGAGGTGGGATTATGCGTACAGTGGGGGGCCCTCTATAGTGCCGGTACGTGCGCAGGGCGTTCACCGGCACTATAGCGGGCACCGGCACAACTGGGAATAGTGCCTCAATAGTGCCAAACGGCACTATTTGGGTGATCGATATCCCTCAGTAGTGCCGGTCTGGCACTACTGAGGCACTGCTGTTTGAGTTCATGGGGTATCGCTTACCATTTGCGAGGCCAACAGAGTAGCATGTGGATCGAGTGTGGTGAATATACTTTGTGGGCGGCAGGGGCAGCCTTTTCTGAGACAAATGTGGGTTCCACTCTGATAGCTGAGTTTGCCGCGAAACCATTCCCGCATGCACGCGCAGAATTCACCTTCGGAGCCAAACCCCGTGTACAGCTCCCGTCCGTGCAACTTAGTATACTTGAAAAAATATCACGTTCCTCGCTGCCTCCCTACGATGTTGCGTGATGAGACACGCCAACAAAACCAATAAACGCGCCAGCAACGAAGCGGACAAAAATAAAACAAAACAAAAAGAAAAAAACTGCGGTATAGCTGTCCCCCCCTCACTCATCAACAAACTCTCTCATGTCTGTCTGGCGCACGCCCTTAGCGGCATGCGCCGCGATCATCGCCATCTTCGCTTTCGATAGGTGGAACGCAGCGTCCCCGTTTCCACTCTCCCGCGCGGCCACCTCCAGGACGCCGAAGTGAGAAGACAGTTCACCGTAAGCCGGTGGGGCGCGGCGGCCGCCCCCCGTGTCCTCATGATCACTGTCCGCCTCATCTTCGGATTCCTCCTCGCGGCAGGTAGATAGGCGCGTTCCCGCTAGCTGTGCCGTCATTTCGTCCGCTGCATCCTGTCGAAAAGCCTCCACCACGTCATCGTCATCCTCGATGGTAGCCCACGCCTGAACTAAGTCCACCGCCTCCTCCGGGGCAGGCTCTCCGGGTGAGATGTTGAGTTCTGCGAACATTTCACTCAGGTCCTCGTCTTCGATGCGAGACCCCTGCTGCTGCGCGTCGTGCACGCTCGTGCTCAACGAGTGGACACTCTTCGTGAGGGACCTCAACGCAGGCTCGTGGATGCGGGCCTGGGTTTTCCCGTGGAGGTTGGTGAGCTCAGCCGCCATCTCCTGCGGAAGCGTGTCGGCTTTGACAAAGCACCTGGTCGCGGGGTTGCCGAGAATACGAACCGCATCCGTTTTTGAGTGCAACGCAGATATTAGACGGACCCAGCGGCAGAAGTTGACTTCATCCGCATGCAAAAAAAGAGGAAATTTTTATTGCAAACGAGGGATGCCCCTGCAGGAAACTTTCTCAAAAAAAATCCGTACCACCTCTGCCACGAAACGTGCCACCAAAGCTATTGTGCTAGCACCACCGCCCGAGTTGAAGCATCTACATAGCAACAGAACATGTTCAAACCTGACCTGGCGATGTCCTGGGGAGTGACGCTGCCCCATGCTTTCTGAAGAAGTTCAGCGGCGTCCCGTAGGTGAGGTTGGTGCCCCTGCGCCAGCCCCATCGTCCCGGCCTTCATCTTACTGGCTTTGGCCTGGGCGCGAAGGGTCTCAGCGACCAACATTGTGGATGCCTTCACGTCGAGCAGCTCCTTCCTGTAGAGGACCTTCGTCTTCGCGATGATCCCCATGTCCATGGGCTGGTGCAGGCTGGTGCAGTTCGGAGGATAGAACTTGATGGTAACTTGCCCACGATCATCAACGAGATCGCCGTGAGAGGAGCAGCCGTCCATCAGGAGCAGCACCTTTTCGTGAGTGAAGCGCCGAATGAACGGGAGGAAGACTTCAAGCCACCACTTGAGGAACGTCGCGGAGTCAGACCACGCGTTGGCCTGCGAGAAGTACTTCAGAGGTGAAGGCGCGTCCGTGAAGCAGCGAGGCACCTTCGACCTCCCGATGATGGCCATGTCCACCTTTGCAGTGCCGTCGGCGTTGCTGCACATGATGGCAGACATCCGATCCTTGAAGTACATGCTCTTGGAGCCCCGCGCCTTCTTGCGGTCCTCCGAGGAGGAAAGATACGTGCGCCTGGGCATAAGCTTCCACTGGATGCCTGTCTCGTCCACGTTGAAGATGAACCTAGCTGGGTACTTCGCGCAAAGGCTCCTGACTTCCTCCATGCCCTTCTCGATGGCCGCTGGGTCGACACTACCAGCCTCGCCATGAAGTCTCGCACTCAGCACCTTGTTGCGCTTCACGAAGTTCTTGGCCCACTTTTCACCGGCCTTGAAGTCCTCGACCCTCGCCCTCACTGCTGCAGAAGTAGCGGGCTCAGCGAGCAGGGTTGCCACGGTGGAACGGCCGAAGCTTCGAAGTACGTCCCGTGTGACGGGCATCTTGGCCTTCCGGGCTTTATCGAGCAGATCAATAACTATCTCATCCACCTGCCGGCGAAAAAGAGTATACAATGCAGAGGTTCAAGCGACCAACGATTAGTTTCAAACGTAAGCATCTACACTGCGCGGCGCAGATACGAGGGACGACGCCGCGGTACACCGTAAACAAAGCTGATGTTTTTTAAGTGCCACTACACCCGGAAAGAAAAAATTGCGGGAGGGGAAAGGGAAAGTTGCGAGGAGACGCTCGTACAGGCTACATCTGCTTACATCTGCTTGTTTGTTTTGAAAAAAAAGCGGGTGCGAATATGTACACAACAGTGCTCTTTCAATTTCAAGGACAAATAATCGGAAGGTCTATGAGTGTGGACATCGAGGACCTCAAAGGCCAAAGACATAACAAAAAAAGGCAAAGAGAAAGAAAAAAAGGAGGTGACATGAAAAAAAAAAACACCATATGATACATACGAAAAGACGAAAAGGGAAAGGCAAAGAAACAAGGAAGAGCAAAAAAAAAAAAGGTACAGCAGTAGAAATCGGCGACATGAGGGCATTTTTGAAAAATGGCGGGGAAAAACAACGTTCGAGAGGAAATTGCCAGGCATGTCGTGTACTCTACCTACCTCCGGAAAGTCTCCTCTGCGTGCGGTTTTCTGGCTTCCGTCGCCTGCAGCTGCCTTAGCCTCCACTTCCTTCCGTTCAGCTTTCACCTTGCGGACCAGCCGTTCCGAGCACTTAAAGCGATCTGCTATCTGCTCATGAGAAATCTTGGCATCCAGCAGCTTGAGGACCTCAACCTTGTCAGCGTTGCTCAGCCGCGCGCGAGAAGCCTTCTTCCCCCCCCCTTTCTCTGTCGGACGTTTAGATGGTCCTGCCCCAGCATCAACCCCAGCTGCGGTCGCTTTGCGCTTGCCAGTCTTAGCAGCGACGCAAGAACTGCAGATGCGGGATGTTTCGAAGTCACCCTCCACGCTGCCGCAAGTGCTATGGAGCCGCCCGCCACATCCTCCCTTGCAGACGTGGCCATGAGGGGCCTTCGGCGTTCTGTTCTGTTGAAGGCACAGTTCACCTTCCGCACACGGCATGGTGCGCCTCTGCGTAGAGCTGTGTTGGACTGCAGCAGCACGGTGTCTGTATTTTGGGAGTGTGGTGGTGTGTGTGCGTGCGTGTGTGAACCGGCACTATTGCGGGCTGACGTGGTGCCCAACCGGCACTATACCAGGCCCGCCCTCAATAGTGCCGTTTGGCACTATTGAGGGCGCTTTCTGTGTGGAGAGATTTTACCGGCACTATACCGGCAGTTGGCACTATTCAACCGGCACTATAGAGGGCCCCCCACTGTACATCCACAGGCCACAGGCGTTTCAAAAATGACGGGGCTGTCAAAGGTTCGGGACTCAGTAGGTTTTTTTTTTTCCCGAGAACCGAGAAGGACTCGGGCCGACCCGGCACTCCACGACTCCACCTCTCCGCCTACTTTGAGCGTGGTTAAGTGGTTCCCAAAAACCACCACCGCTGGAGGTTCAAGTGTCGAGCGTCTGCATACGTTAGATCCGAAATCTGCGGGCACCTTACCTCCCTCACTCTCTTCGCACAGCTCACATAAAAATGGTGACTTCAGGCCTCTGGGCTATACTCTAGTGCTTGATCCGGTGAAAGGTCGTGTTCTACCTTGACCAGCAGTGACGGTGGTGGCAGAGTATTCGGTTTGCTGTCTGGACGGAAGGCTGGTGTTTCTGTGAGTCAATTCCCATGGCGGTTGCACAGCAGTCGAAAGCACCCATGAAGATTCAGGATTGTTTGCTTGTCTGCACTCTGCAGGGCCTCCCGTACAACAGGGGGGGCCGCCACAATCTGACTCCGAGGTAATTCCCTTCGAGCACCAATGTCAAGGTTTGCTAGAGATCAACCCATTGCATGTTTCACCGCAATGAAAGCTTACGGAGGGCAGACGCGGTGCAAATCACATTCGCATGGCTTTTGTGCACGGCCGTTGAACGTCTCGAATCCTCCTCCTCGGGGCGGGGCGGGTGGGGGGGGAGGGTGCCAATCAACTAAATGGCAATCCTGTCTGACGAGACCTTGAGACCGACCGTCGAGGACGGGTGACTGTCGAGGACGGGTGGGTCCAAGACATACGTGTTCATCTATTCATCTACATGTAGGCACAAAGGTGTTTGGTCTTCACGGGGAGCTGACCTTTCACCGGACCCGTCCCCTTGTCTCTGCAATTTACCCTGCAGCAACATCTTCCAAGCGCCTTCTTTCTCTCTTCTCACATCTTCCAATCAGAACGGGTCTGTCTTACGTTTCCTCTCTTTCTCTCTCACTTAACATGCAAATCGGTGCGCTGAAAAAAAAAAAAACACACAGACACATACACAAAGAGAGAGAAGATCAAACTCAGTCTTCGTCAACAATTTCCAGCGGGTCCTCCTCCCCCTGCGGGCACCAAATCTCCTGCAGGGACGAGTCGTCCCCGTCTCCTTCCGCCACCGCCACGAAGGAGGGGAAAGGAGGGTCCGACGGGAACGCAGCGCCCCTGCGGTCGTCGAAAAGAAAAAAAACACAGCGAGAACCGGCAGAGGACAGCGTTGGCACGGAGAGAGAAAGAAGAGCGTATGTTGCTCGAAAAGCAGACAGCAGTCCTACTACTACACTCGACAGGAACGTGACAGGACACGACACGACACACACACACAACGCGCGAGAGACAAAGGACACATGATCCAAGTGTGTGGCCAAACGCAGAAAAAACAGCGGTCCCAGGGCCTATTGCGTAGTGCACGCGGCTGGCTGGCTGGCTCACTTGATAGCGTCGGTGACGCGTACGAATCCACCGTTTTGACCCGGCACGTGGCCCCTGACGAACAGAAGCTCTCGCACCGGATCCATCTGTGCGTGTGCACGCGGCGGAAGAAGAAACAATACGATCAACACACGCTTCGGAAAAACGAATCCGGGATGTGCCCGCTCCCAAACTTCTCTCGAGAGGAGGAATGAAGTCAGACCACGCGACACTTGGGCATCCACACCGGGCCATGTGCTTCGTGCTGCCGGGAGTTTGCTGGCGCCATTCCCCATACATAGCTTCTCGGTACAGGAGATAGATGCCGTGAAACAAGCAAGATGCTTCAACGTGACAGCAGTGTTGGCGCATGTAGCAAGAAGATACGTTTTGGGTACCGTATGGCTGTACACGAGAAAATAACAAGAGAACCAAGCGAACACAGCAACAAAAAAGTGGTCGCGTTCGGGAAAAGTAGCCAGGAGGGGAATACCTTGAGGATCTTGAGGTTTTGAACCGTGACCCTGTCCGTCCCCATCCGCCCGGGCATCTTCTTGCCCTTGAACACTCGTCCAGGGTCCTGGCACTGGCCGGTTGATCCGATGTGCCTGTTGCGTATTGCATTAAATAGGGACGAGGGATGACGCACGGAGAGCGTTATATTGTATGTATCGCCGATAAGACTGCTGTTGTAGGGTAAGGCTCAACTACCTTCATGGGTAGCACCGATTCACGCGAAAGCAAAAGCTCTTGAAATCACCACACTGTTTTCGGCCTGCTGCACGTGCAGCCCGCCTACGCCAACACACCAAGCTGTGTCAGAGACATCGCAGACTGCACACGCGTTTAAACCTAGACCGGAGCGAGTCGCACCAGCTATTCTAGCGCCGAAGAGACTCCATTCCCATTCCCGAACCGAAAAAGACATCCTTCATTGGGAGGTATGCAATTCTCTCTTGATTGAAAACACTAGAGGATCTTCCATCGGCCGGAAGTAGAGGTGGACGCGCTTGAGAAATTCGAAGGCTCTTCTTTTCTTCCGGCCGTCCTCCTGCAGGACTCCGTCACCGCCGCCGCACCAACGCGAGTGCCAACACCGCCGTTTCGAGGGACAAGACAGAACCTACCTTATCCCGCACGCGGCCCCTACTTGTCCGACCCTGCCTACGCGAAAACGGCGAACAACTACATACCTATAGAGGTAAATCGAGCGGTAGATGACAGGGAAAGCGGCGAATCTAAACAAGGGCGACGGTTCCACAAACACCAAAACAAGACCGCCGAGCAACGAACGAGAGCGCAGCCTCCGTCACACGCAAGTCTGGCTCAAACCCCAACCAAGTATGGGAGGAATAGCCAGCCTGTTTGTACGCCCGTCACGTGCAAGTCAAGACCAGAGAACATCCTCGCGCGGTACGTACGTCCCCTCGCAAGAGGCCACCCGACTGCAAGAGTCGTTGTAACAAGACCAAGAATTACACCCCTTCCCCCGTTCGATAACCGAAAACACAACACCGAGCCAGCCGCTGGCCGGCCGTCCTCTGGATCCCCCCCCCGCTCCGCTGAAAAAGGCCGGGGAGTGATGTCGATAGGATAGATAGGCCGGGGGAAACGTTTTTGGGCCACCTTTGGCAACGTAGGAAGGAACAATTGCACATTATTGGCGATCGGTACTGTGGGAGCAATGCTTCATCCTCTCGAGGACGACGTGTGGTCGATGGTCTAACCGCCAAGGTATGCAGAACAAAATAGTACGCCCCCCCCCCCCCCCCCCCGTGTGCTCAGCCCTCACCTGGGAGTCTTCGACACACCGTGCGAGGCCCGCTGCCCCTTGAAGCCCCACCGCTTCATGCCTCCCTGGAAGCCCTTCCCCTTGGAGGTGCCGCACACGTCCACCTTCTGCCCCGCCACGAAGTGCTGCGCTCGGAGCTGGAAGCCCACCGGCAGCAACGCCTCGGCGCTCACGCGAAACTCCATCAGCTGCGTGCGGTGGATGTCGAGTACTTGACGGCTTAGTCAAGAAGAGTAAATGGAGCTTTTGGCACACTCGGTGCGCGGGGAGAGGTGAGGATGTGGTGTTGAAAAGTGTTCAGGGTGTTGCTGCTGTGTCTAAACAAGCGATGCATGTCCAGAACCAAACACACACAGAGAGAGAAAGAGAAAGCTTTGGAAGCGTTTTTGCACACTGACGGATTAACTGAAACTGACGTCGTTTCAGTGGTCAGCTTGTTAGCGCGGTCGATACAACACACGCACACATAGACACACTGTTATTGCCACCTTGAATCCGGAGAGGAGGGTAGACTGCCCCATGACGTTCGGTCACAGGGTCCCAGATCGTGGCCAATACAAGCATTTTGTGGTTTCCAACACACTTGAGACTGATGTATTTTCATTGGTCAGCCGGTTAGCGCGGTCGATGCTAATAGAAAAGACACACACACACACACACACACACAGACTCGGAGAGCCAAAACGCCCCATATTCCTGCCCACCTTCCGCTTGGGGTTGACCCCAGCCCGGCGGAATCTTTCCGCGTCTGGCTTGTTCACGTTCTTCGTCTTGCGCTCTCCGACGCCCAGCTGCAAGGACGTGTAACCGTCGGTCTCCGTGGTCTTCACCTTTGATTGAGAGTCAGAGGAAAACAAATGCATGCAAAGAAAGAAAGGCTACCCGGTCGAGACAAGACCACAGTCGAAGGAGGTGTTAAAGTAATTACAGTGAAAGATAGACAACCGGCCGCAACCGGGCTATTTGAGTCTGTTTTGACCCGATACACTGAAAAATATGCCAGTGGTGCCAGCTGGTGCTAATCATAAAAGCATCTGAACAGGTACGACACATTTTTGCACTACAGCCCCTGTAGGTGTTTACGGGTCAACGACAAAAAAATCACGGGAAACGTGGCGGGCGGGCGACCGGGGGGGGGGGGCACAGGAGCACGCGGCGGAAGGGTGTCTACGCCTCCTGTACCGACGGATGGAAACGATGCACAGTTGGATATGTTCCGCTCTCGTCGCTCATGTTCTCTGCTTTCCATCTACTTTCCATTTCTCTCTACATATATGTATCCCTCTCTCTCTCTGTCTCTCTCGCTTCTGTCTGTCTGTCTCTTGCTGACCACGAGTGTGACGGTCTGCTCTCTCTTGCTCATCGTTTTCGTCGCTCATTCTTCCCATCTCCCTCTTTGTCCTTCTCCCTCGTCCTCTTGATCACTACATGTGCATATAACGTACGTATTCGTATCTCACCTGCACAACCTCGCACTCGTCCAACTGCAGGACGGTCACTGGGTGGCGCACCCCCCAAGAATCGAAGATTGCCATCGAACCAACCTTCAAAAAACACAAAAGAGGGATAGTGGTTACGCACTGCTGTTGAATGCAAACAAGGCAACTTACCTGTGAAATCGTAGCGTCATTCTTGCCGAGTCGGAGATGACACGTTGGCACGCTGCTTCACGGCGTTCATCATGCAATTACTACATACGCTCTCCCGCAAAACGCGCAACCAAGAGCACAACCAGGCTATTATAAGTAGCGCCGCTGAATTGTACAAAAAGACACTACAAGTACCATAGCCAAGTATCATAGCATCCTTTGCCTTCATTGCCGAAGCACCGGAACTCCTCCCGCACCCAAACAAAACGCCTCCAATAAACAACATCTGCAATCACCAGGAAAAACCAACAACATTTCCGAACAACGAACAAAATACGACGAAAAAAAAATAAGACGAGATCCACTCCTTCCTCACGCCCAAGCAGATAGTATCGATCAATAAGGTGCCTGCATTCGAGGCGAAAAAAAACACATGCCAGCCGCACCTTCATCGCTAACGCCCCGCTCCTCCGCACCGATGGGTTCCACTCACGAGCCTCCAGACTCTGCGGCCCACCTACTCCTCCAAAAACTGCCCCTGCCCCCCTGCCGCCGCCGCCGCCGCCTTCATCCCAGTCGGACTCGGACGGAGAGGGGTCCGAGGAACCATCCGCAGTGTTGGTGGCGGGCCTTGCGGACGACGACAAGGCTTGCCGAGCGCCGGGTGGAAACCCTTGGAGCGCGGCGGAGGCGCCGGCGGCGCCGCCACAACCGCTGGGAATTGAGGCATTTGCTGCTACTGCCGCGGATAGCCCTCTTCTTCCGTTGAGTTGTCTTGGACACGGAGGAAGAGGCGGTGGATTTAGAAAAGGAGTCGATGTATGTAAAAGGCATGCTGGCCGGAAATGAGGGAGCGTTTGCTTCCTTCGTAGGACTCGATTCGGACAGAAATATTTAGCCAACCGGACAACGAGAGAACGGCATGCGGCATGCATCCATCCTCGTTCGATTGTGTTCAGAAAAGCAGGCAGCGGTTGCATAAATCTTCCCACCTTTTGCATCTTTTGGGACTGTGCTTGCCGCAACGGCCCCAGCCCGATCATGTCCAAAAAAATGCCGCTCAAAACCCTCTATTATATTAAATAGTATGGGCGGCCCTACGACTTCGTTCAAGCGCACCATAAGAGACAATACAGGCCGGGCCTTTCTCTCCAGTCTCCTCCGTGCACCCCCTCCAGAAAGCCCCTTTTGTCGGGAACACCAGCTGTTATTGCTACAGCAGTAGTAGCCTCGCTTCGTGAGCTGAGACTCAAACGTTGACATTTTCTTTCGCCAACCATGCATGGCAAGAGGCCCACACACACCTCGAACACGTACGGACCCCCCGCGCCCCCGATACTGCCCGTACCGCACCCACGGCCGGCGTGCTTGAATGCAAACTATTAAGTAGCGAAATGAAAGTATAACTCTACCATGCACACAGCTGTACACAGAGCATAGTGGGTTGAAACTCATGGCTTCGAGGGCTGTTGTGCACCGCGTGAACTTCGGAGAGTCGGGCATGCGACCGAACCCCGATCAGACTGAAAACATATGCTGTAAACACATATACATGTGCTACTACTGCTGTAACATTGTAATTCGTGCAGGCGGTACCAAAATTCCGGGGCGCTCGGGTTGCTGTTGTAAGACGCAGCAGAGCTACCCCGATCACGAAGTGTGTGATCAACCGTGGGTGTGAGACTCAAGGGAGGTCGAAGTTCGTACACAAAAGGTAACATGCACATGGCAAACTGCCATTGCCCGTTGCCCCATCCCGGACGTTCTCTGCAACAGAATATTGTTCAGAGGAATTGTCTGCCCCTTCGGCAGCATGGGCACGCCAACCGCTACACCAAGATGCGAACGCACTCGAGATTATTTGTGCACAACAGCAGCAGGGGGTTTGTTCGTCTCACCATAGCGGTGCTTAGCCTGTGAGGTGTGGTGGACATGCGGTGTACAACAACACAGCAGACAGCTAGGCCGCTGGCCGCAAAACCAAAAACCACTTGCTCTGTGCCAATTGACGCAGCACAGCTGTGATATTTTGAATCACCGTTTCAAAAGCGCAGACGACGGCAACATACCTGCTGATAAAGCACCGCGTGACCCTCAACGTGGAAGACGCCATCGAGCGTCTTGCTTCTCGTCGCCACTACTCCACTCACTGACTGACTCGTACCTCTCTGTTTCTGCTCTCTGCCGGCCTGTCTGCGGCTGCGGGTGGATGCACCCGGCGGCTCCGTATATCATACGGCGAATTTTGGGCCCCTGGATAAGTTCGGTCTGCGTCGCGACTTCTTTTTTCTTTTCACCAGGGGTTCCTCTCAAACCAGACACACACAGACACATCATTCAAACACGATCCATTAATTCACGCTGTTCGTTGAGATGAGAAGCAGGTGCGTGTGCTGCCCAGATAACAAACGGCGTTGATACTAAAACAAAAGGCGAGAGGGAAGATAACATTGTGGTGCTGCTGGTCATTACGTGCTTGGATAAAAAATGTGAAGAAAAATTGCACAACGCAGCAGTAATTAATTAGTAATAAATGCTACTCTGCTGTAGTGCCCACTCCATTACCATTGGTAACACAAGATACCACCCCCCGGGACTAGCTTCTGATTTTCCACAGCACAAAGCGCGGCGGTGCCGAACATGGCTGTGTCGGAACGATCTCTTCGAGATAAGATTTTCGAGCACGTATCGCGATTCCGTGTATCCTCTACTTGCATTAGTCGTGGAGTATTACTCGAGCTTTGAAAATCAGTCCATCCAATGGGGTGTGATATCTTACGTCACCTGCTGTGCGACAAAAGTTGAACGGGGGGGGCAATGGATGTAGAGGCCAGGGATCTCCCAGAAACGAAAAGGATGGCGGAAAGAGAACAAGTGAGTAGCTGCCACGGAGGCAGACAGAGCTGCTGCCCGCTTATTATCATACCCCGTCTTCGGAGTACGAAGTACGAAAAAACACACGAACGAGAACTCGAGGCTTGAGAATATTCAAAGAGAGATTGAACACAAGTGAATGACACAGGTAAGCTTTCCGTACAAGCACATGTCGGGTACTGCTGTGTACAGGCACTTTGGACGATTGTAAGCCACAAAATCACGACTTCCTTGTTTTCCTTGTTCGAAAATCGAACAAACAACAAAAACGGGACGTCGCGCCCGTGTGCATATCCTGCAACAATAATTAGCGGCACCAAAAACGTTCCAATTAATCCTCCTCACCATAATGTTGGATGCATACGCTTGTTGGTATATTAGACGTGCATCATTACTCAACAGCAAAAATGCAAAGAAGAACCGGTATGCGAGACGTAGCAGTAAAAGCATGAGCGCCGGCCTGCTCCACATCGCAAAGGAACCCGCGCAAGCACGGACTAGTTCTGCTCCAAAAGTCACAGCCCGTGGAACGAAGAAGAAAGCACAAAAAAATATATTCAAACAATACAAGTGCACGTGACGATCCTCGCTGACAATCAAAACGTAAAATCGACCCCCCCCTGCTGTGATTAAATCTCGTGTACCATCAAAACGCGGTCATGGGCGTCACGACGGATGGACGTGTACACAGCAAAACAAGACGAACACAACGCAGGGGAACAGAGATCACTCAACACCAGCACCGCAATCATCGTGTACTTCACCCGCCCATCAATCGCCCTAACCAAAAACAGAAAAAACACATGAAAAAAAAAAAAAGGCAACCGAACACACAGTAACAAGTAGCAATCACGCGAGAGCCTTGACAAAACAAAAACATCCCGCTGGAATGTACCTTGTAACATAAAAATTGCCACTTTCACGGAGGACAATTGTCAAAAGTAACACCGAAAGGGTTGCGGCGTGGACAAGTAGACAAACCTGTGGTTTGTATGCAAACGGCCTCTCTTCAAAACCAGAAAAGAGCGAAAATCTAAATACAACAGGCGTACTTTAGTACTCCGAGCAGTAACGAACGACAGAACGTACAATCCAAACCATCAAGGTGCTGCCCCTATATAGCGTGCACCCCCACCCCCCCCACCTACCCCCTAACCGATCTCCAGCGGAACGGCCACATGGGATACGATTCTAGATCATCTCCCTTTGAACATGGAAGTTTTTGTTTGCTCTCTCAGTGCCCCCGCGGCCCAGATAGAAACAACCCGTGAACAATAAAAGTTTGAACACCGGACAAATACCCCGAAATCAAAATGTACTTCCCAAAACTAATAAACTGTCATGTTTCGCAAAAACAACGTTATCCGTGGAAACAAATCGATACTTGTTGTAGGTCACCCCGGTTTTCATACCGCATACCGTCGAAAGCGAAAACGTAGACCTTCAGTTGAAAGCGCAGGTGCCGCATACACCACAGTCTGCCGGTGCGACCCGATCGATCGAAACGTTCTAGCCGGCCATCCATTCACCCACGCACCGTGCTGCTCTTAGTGAGCAACGACATCGATTCTCAACCTGTGTAAGCATACTGCCCTCAGATATCTCCCTGCTGCCTGCCTGGCTGCCTGGCTATCTTATCTATTTATGAACGTGTGTTGTACCTCCCGCGGAACGAAGAGAACGCCATGGCACCAGCGAGCGCAAGGCTTCGAAATGCCACGGAACACGAACACAACAACATCACGCAAAACAAGCAATGGTCCCAACAGCGAGCCATGCCCCACCCAAATCAATCCTTTCCGTTCGCTGGGACACAACACACCTGAGAGCACAATTAGACAGCAGCAGCGCGACAAGACTTTTTAGAAAACACACTTATTCATCTGTCGTGGCAAGCTCGTGGCGGGCGACGGACGTAAGAGCATTGAACGCGCCCCCGCCACAAGATAAATAAGAGCAACTTCGCGACCTCTCGTCTCTTGAATCCAGCATGGCCGGCGTGCTTCGCTCGCCCTCACAGCTCACGCCCACTGGCTACACCAGCTTGTGGTGCCACCCCCACACCGTACTGTCGCTCTCCCTCCCTGCCACACCGCCTTCTTCGATTGGGTGAGAAATGGCATCAAAACACAGCAGTCGAATCCACGGCACCCCAACCCGGCATTGCAAACCCAGACGCAAAGCAACAGATGGAGTCGAACAAAACCAAAAATGAGGAGGCCAGCTCTTCGACAAACCGCAAGTTCGCGGTCGTGCCGGGCTATGTAGTTTCCTCGCAAAATCAAACACTGCGGCATATGCCACCTCCTCGCTCTGCTCTCGCTGCCACTACCGCACTTGCTCAAAACGCCCGCTACCAGCCATATTTTGGCTCAGGGTCAGCCGCCGCCGTCATCGCGGCCGCGTTAAGCTCAACGGTGCCTCTCTCAACACCAGTTCTTCAACCCGGACGGGCAAGGGACACAGAAATCGCCCTCGTAGTCCGTGCAGTCGAACTTGCACATGCGGCACCCCTCCCAGCCCTCTGGCTGGCACCAAAGGCCGCCCATCGACGGGAACAGGACGTCGTCCGGGTCCGAGCCGTCCACGCACTCGAGGTCGCAGTACATGGACTTTCCGTTCTCGCAGAAGTAGGCAGCGAAGGCCGGTTCCAGCTCGGCCGTGCCGCAGTCGCAGCCTTCGATTTCCTGCGACGGGGGGCGGGGGAGGGGGCAACAAGCGGTATCGATTTCTTGTTGTCAAAAATGTGTTGGTGTTTTGAGAGACTACCAGTAGTTCCAAGTTGTTTTTTTTAGGGTAAGGTAGCCTGTGACCGACCGCGTCCAGTGTGAACATCAATACGGACAGATGGAAGGTACTGGATGTACAGAGATCGAAACGGTTTGTAACGTGAAGAATACAACAACAGCAACAACAACAACAACAACAAGCTCGCAACGAAGAATGCATGGCGTATGCATGCACGTGGATGGCGTGGTGTGCAAAATACACGCCCTCTGGTTCGGTGCACGCACCCGGGAGCTACGCACGGTGTGATAACGTGATAACCACATCAACAAAACAAAAAAACACGCCGGTATATCCACCGCCACAGCAGTGGATGGTGGGGGGACATGGATGAACAACTTGTTCAGAAAATTGGACTCAAGTCCTGCACGTTTCGCCCTTGCCTCAAGCCCACACCCACCGCGGTGGCCCCAACCAACACTGCCGTTATCCTGCCTCGAGGAGTCCCCGCTTGCTGCAATACTCACCGCCACCCTGCTCGCGTCCCCGCTTCCGCTGGCAGTAGCGGTGCTGCTCGACGTGCTCCCGGCACCGCTGGCGTCTGCGCTTCCGCTGGCAATACCCGTGCTGCTCGACATGCTCCCCGCACCGCTGCCGTTGCCGCTGCCGTACTCGGCGGTCACCCCCTCCGACGCGCTGTCAAGCGCGCTGCCCGACGCACTGTCGCCTGGGGTACCGGCGGAGGGTGGCGCGGCGGGGCCGCGGCCAAAGGCAATGGAGGTCAAAGGCAATGCAGAGTGTGTGTTGGACGCTCGTGTTACGCACCATCACGGATGACGATGCGCTGCGCGCTACACGCCGTTCACACCGGCCGATCAGTATTATAGCCGCCGCTTACCGCGAACAACGCAACATTTGCACACCACGTCGGTGGTTGTACGTCCCGCCACTTCATATTCTGGGCAGAAACGGCAACTGCTCAAGAACCTCCCTGTTCGAGCGTGTCTCCTTTTGGTATTTCCTCGCCGGAAAATAAATAAATAAATGATCTCATGATTGATGACGTGTCTGTGTTCAGCTGAGTTGTATGCGTACTCCTACATGTTTTCGGTTTGGGCGTAACGTTGTACACATTAGGATTTGGTCGGAGGTGATGTCACCTTCACAGTTTGTTAAACGTAAGTCATTCGAAGGGATTCGAATTAAGTAAATTTTCCCGTCGTGAACCGACCACCACGGTGGGCGGCCCTGGTGCGGCCATTCTTCGCTTTTATCGCCGAAGTCAACGTTGTTCTCGCAAAAAAAACGCAAACCGCCTGCATTATCTCCAAACAAAGCACTTCCGCTGGATGGAGCGCTACCGCCCCGCCCGTGTCCCCGCCTGAAGAAGACCTATCAACACGATGCCTGTTGGGAAAAACATCTCTTCCCTACCAACGCGTGCAAGACTCTAAAAAAAGCATGGATGCAACAACAACGCTCACCGGCAATTCCACCCGAACCGCTGCCCGCACCGCTGGCGGTGCTCGACATCGACCCGCCTCCTGCCCCGCTGCCAGATCCGTATGCGGAGCCCCCTTGCGACATCTCGGACCCCCCTCCGGCCCCGCTGCCGGATCCGGACGCGGAGCCCCCGCTGGACATGGACCCGGACCCGGCCCCGCTGCCGTACACGTCGTCCTCGCACTGGGCCATGTCGGCGATGCCGATGCCGGAACAGAACGTGATGTACTCCGCTGGCGAGCCGGTTTTTTCCATGAACCTGTGAGTACAGCAGTAGTAGTTTTTTTTTTTGTGGTGGTGGTGGTGGTGGGAGGTGTCGTTAATGTGTGTGTTAGTTCATAGCGCGAAACAACACGCGCGTTTATTCATTCCCGGACACCTTGACCTGTACGACTCA